TCATCAAACACTCAGAGGAAAAGAATCAACAAAAGCAAACAACAACAGTTCTCAGAACCATCTCATCATTAAACGTTCAAAAACAAGTCAAGGAAACAGAGATACCGGAAGCCAAAGTGCTATCATCACGATCCTCCTCCGCCTAGCCACCAAGAAGGCCGTCGGTCCAACCCTTTTTCCTCTCCATCCATTTTCCAGAAGTCAATCGCCAAGGTATGATTTTTCTTCCCAAACTTAACTGCATCTTAGACGCAGTAACCATGGATTAAAAGATGAAACAATAACATAAGCAATCAATAAACAAGCATGCAAACTGTAAAAACCCTAAGAATCAGAACAAGATAAAAACTATACATTTCAAACCATCGCCTTGGACCGTCGTGGAGAGGAGAGGGCGAAGGTGGCGCTCTGGAAACTTGGAGTCATGAGGAATGATCAGCGCTTCGCCTGAGAGAGATGAGAGAAACGAAGAAGAAGGAGGCGCCGTTGAGGCCAAAGCGTACAAACCCTAGTTCAGAGTGAATCAACCCTAAAAAATTTGTTCAAGTTCACAAGTGGGCCTGACTCGCCCCAAACTGTGCCAAGCCCAATTGTTGGCTAAGCACCCCCCCCCCCTCTTCATCCCGATTCATTGTTTTTCTTCATTCTCATTTGGGCCTCACAGATTGCTTAAGTCCCATCATCTTTTTAACCAATGTCTTTCATTAATTAAGTTTTTAAACAACTTATTTTCTTTTCTTTGTAAAATATAAAAACCAAAAATACATTAAAATTTTGTTTTAATTTTCTTAAATATAGTTTTTTTTCCTTTTTATTTTATTTGTTACATTTATTAAATACATTAAAAATAGAGATTTTATTTTTGTTTTCTTTAAAAAAATATGTATATAATAGAAGCATTAACTTAAATAATTTTTTCTTTTCTTTAAAACTCTTTGTTTACATAATTCATAAAAAATATAATAATAATAATAATACCTTAATCTTTATTAGGTTAAATTTTATCTGTTCATTTGTAAATAAATACTTGTATCTCATAGTATTTTTTATTCTCATTATTTATTGTTATAATCTTACATTGAATTGCGACAATTTAAATTCCCGCAATTTATCGCTTTCAATATACTATATAGTAATTAGGGTTTGTATGCGAAGATCTAAAATCAATCGCTAGATAACCTAATACAAGATAAATGCATGAAAATCAATACACAATTCACACTTGCACCTCTAGGGTAACCTCACTCGTTGCTCCAGAAACACAATCATGTCCCTCGAGTATGAGACACTCTAGCAAATGCCCCTTCGATAAACAAAGATCGTAGTCCCTCGATAACCCTTGGTGTTGCCTTCGATAAAATGATCTCGTCCCTTACAAAATTGCTAGAGCGTCTCACAAGTTGCTTTCAATGATTGTATACGATGACTCGCGCCTGTCCCGTTTAACATCCTAACACAAGGTTGTTCGCCAAACACAATGGTGAAATAACACTGTCAAAAGGATTGAAAACATAAGAAATATCTTTGAGTAAAATAGGGTAGACAACTCTTAGTTACTTGATCAAAAGCTTTCAAAACATCCTTGCCATTTTCAAACACACTTCACAACACAACTTCAAAACAATTTCAAAATAAATTTTGAAACATTGAAATATCTTTTCAAAAAGACACACACCTTTGTATATATTCAAACAAGAATCATTACAAAGGTTGCCTAGACAAGGCCTCTTTTTAAAAGCATTTTCAAAAAACCACACACAAAGCACCATTTCAAACAATTGAAAAGAAAAGGCAAGTGATCTAAAACAAGTAACTAAGAGCCCATGGAAAACCATGGATGAAAAGGGTGCTAGCACCTTCCCTTTTCATTATCTACCCCCCGAACCCAAGAAAACATCTCAAAGGTCTTTCCTGTGCTTTTTGACCTTTCCTTAGGATAAAATAAAAAGTCGGTGGCGACTCTTGCTAAACCGAACAAGTGCGAACACAAACACAAAACCTCAAGTCAGTTCTCCCACGTATCACAGGTGGCATGTTAGTTTCTCCCAATTCACACACTTGGATGAACACACCCACACACTGGAAAGTCACTTAACCAATCCACACAAGGTACCATGAACCTTTGGATGATAAGATGTCATACACACTTGGTTTGACATTGCTCACAAACTCCATAAATTCTCAGTTTGCTTACAAGCTTTACTGAGATCTAAACTAAACCAATCTCTTCATGAGATACTTACAACTGAAGAAAATACACCTCTTTAAAAGCTTTCTGATCAGATCACAGTATGTGATAACATTTCTCTGTCTGCACATTCACTGGCAAGGTTGATACTAGTGAAGTATTCATCATAGTAGTCATGCATTCACTAAGCATACTATTGTAAACAAGATTAGAATCTCCACATTCTAATCCACATCATCAAAAATCCCTCTTTTGACCTAATGCTTGAGTATCCAACTCCACAAGCACAATCCTAAGCATCTTCCAAAGACAACCACCACAAGTATGATGTTACAACATCATTTGAGACAACATCTTATCATCACAGAACCCGATTGCGCTGGTTCTTAAAACATCATTTAAACAAAAATCAAGAAGCTCCCAATAAAACACAGCCAGTGCAGGTCATTCAGGTTATCACAAACACCTGAATACCTTGGAGATAAATAAAATCTCACATACTCTCTGAACCATAGTGTTCAGATTGCATACTTTCATTTAAACATGAGACAAATACTCAGCTCTCGTCAAAGTATTCACCATCAGTCGCATGCATAACCTTAATAGAGGACAAACAATTACTCAGCTCTCGTATGAGTATTTGCAATAGTCACATGATACCACATTCTCACATTAGGTAGGAAATTTGGTCTGACATCATTCTTATGCACACATCTAGCACTAGTTGATTCATCTTCATGATAACTAGTTATGATAGCCATTCTCATCATAAACTACTCTAGATTAGGTCAGCGGCTTAACCTTAAACTCTGCCATGAGCAACACAAACTTCTTTGGTTGAAGGAGTAAAACACACTTTGAGATGATGTTCCAACATCATATCTGACATCAATGTCAATCAAATGGACCTGACCATTTACTATGGATTTGGAGACAATACCCATAAAAGTCCATACACCACTCTTGCAAGGGAAATAAGAGGATCAACCATCAGTAGTTGATCAACTTTCAAGACCAAATCAAAATACATGCAGAGCATGCACACCTCGAGAAAATTTATTCTCAAAAGCAAAATGTCCATACACTACAAGAAAAATGATAGATTGGGACGGTTATTTTGGCTGATTACGACGGTTAAAACCGTCGAAATTTACAATCTACGACGGTAGAAGTACCGTCGCAGAATCGTGCGTCCCCAGCCTATTTCGCGACGGTTGCAAAAACTGTCACGCACAACAGATAGCGACGGTTATATACCGTCGTGAATTTGACTTTATTTTTTGTTTTTGTTGTTGTTTGCGACGGTTATTCTACCGCCGTAGGTTAGAAATTGCGGCGGTTTTAACCGTCGTAATCTGATTTATAAATTTCAAATAATATTTTTATTTAAATTATTATTTAGTAAAATAATTTTAAATATAATATTATTTTACTATAATATTTTACTATTATACTTAAATTATTATTTACTTTAATATATTTTTATTTATAGTTTTTTTATTTTATTTTCTATCACTTTTCAACATAATAAAGTTGATTACAATAAAAACATTTAATATCAAATAATCATCAATAATATCAAAAAAATGTGATCAAAGGTAAAAAGAAGTGCAAATTTTACCAATAAACAAGAAAAATTCAAATATCATCAAAGGCCAAATTTCATTTTAATATTTACATTGGTTTGCTACAACTTGAGAGAATTACAAAAAATGTTACAATATTCTACAAAATTCATGAAAGTCCTTAGTGTTAAGTGATTTTGTGTTAAACTTCCATGCTAGGACCATGATCCTTCCTTGAATGTTTGACGGTTTCCGGACGGTGGACCTTCAACGACGGAGAAGCAAGACGAGTCAAAACTGCAATATACAAAGAGTAGTAATTAATTTCAGAGAAAAGCTGTTAAAAAATAACAACTGGTTGGATTTTGAGGAAATATGCATTTTAAGGGACAACTTTTCCTAATTTTTTGGCCATGGTTAAACAAAACAAAGGATGGAAGGTGACACGTGGAAAGGATTTAATTTTCAATATGTGATACTTGATAGAGAGAAAACAGTAAAGGTTCTTCTCATTTTCAGCATCAATTATTTTTTCTGTATCAAGCAAGTTCAGAATGTTTTGAATCTGAAATGCAGAAACATCATATTTGCAGCTGTAAGAAACAGGCTCGGATAATTCCTTGGTTGTAGTACAATGGTGACTGTTTACCTTTGTAATCAATCCTAATGGACTGACTTTGAATTGATTCTCCATTAGAGAACGTTTGGGTAAGTGTCACTGCCAGGCTCACGCTTACAAGTGGCTCCATAAAGCATGACGGGTAATAACAACATTACCAGTATATCCATTAAAATTGATTGAGTTTATAATCATTTACAACAAAGAGTAATTTCAAATTAAACATAAGAATAAATATCAATTTTTTAATAAATAATGATTTTCAGAATCACGCTGCAGGTCCTTTTAAAAGACACTGACATAACTTAATCTCATAAGTTAGAACATGTTAAAAACAATATATTATCAAACATAAATATAGAATTCAATAGCCAATAAGATTGGAAGTTATTTTATTCTCTCTTCAAATATATTCAGTATAACCTTTATTCGTCATAGTTCTTCATCCTCAGAATCAAGGAAAACTCCAAGGAGACATAAAAATTACATTACATATCAATAAATTATTCACACATGACACACCTCATATGCCAATTAGTTGTGAGTTTGGGTTAAGGACAAACTGATCCCGAGTACCCGAGTTTGATCCCTGGCAATAACATTCTTCAGTCAGGGTTTACTTCCCTCTCTACCAAACTCCAAACTCCGGATTACTATCCCCAGCCCCCTTCCCCAAGATCCGTGGTGTTAAATACCAAAATGCATCAAATTCAAAATAGAAAGAAGCTTAACAAAAAACACAAAAGATGTAGTACTTTTTATAGAAAATAGGATCACAATTCACAAACAATGTACTAACTATGCAAATTACCTTGGCAGTGATCTCCTTGGTTGCAGACTGAGCAACCATCGATAATTTACCAATTCCCTGAAAACACACAACACAGAAACACATCTCAACAAACAATAAACCATTTCCCATAAACAAAAGCAAGATTCAGAGTATAACCTCAGAAACAACAGATAAATAATCACTTTGATTAGACATCTTCTGAGAAGGATTTGGACTAGATCCAAATCCAACATACTTCCCACCCTGCGAGGGAGGAAGCCCCTCCGGTCTCGCTCCATTCATCGCCATCTTCTTCGCGAAAAACCCTTCCTTGTTAGCAGCAGAAGCCTCCAATTGTGTCCTTGTATAAATATCCTCCGTCGACTTCGACCTGGGCGACGGTGCAATCCCTCCTCCACCAAACCCCATAACATCACCAGTAGACTGATTCCTCCGAAAATCACCACCACCGCCGCGAGATCCATAACCATCATCATTATCATTACCCCAATTATCATCCCAACCTCCATTAGAACCAACAGCAAGAGGCGGCTTCCCCTTACCATTACCATTACCAGATCGAGAATTAGTATTAGCATTCTCCTTAACAACCGGCGGATCCCGCCACGAGCGACCTTCAGCGAGAGCCTGAATCCGATCGCGGTAGATCGAAGCCGCGTTAGAATTATACTTAGTTATAATATCTGTTTCCTTGGGAATTCCGTATTGAGAGAGAAACGAATTGAGATTGCGGTTACCACCGGCTTCCATTTTCTTGATCTGGAGATCAGACCATGAATCCATTGTTACGGATCGGACGAAGGATACTGTAAAAGTAAATTAATATTTTGTTTAAAAATGAATTACTAACATTTTGTGATATCATATATATATATATATATATATATATATATATATATATATATATATATATATATATATATATATATATATATATATATATATATATATATATATATATATATATATATATATATATATATATATATATATATATATATATATATATATATATATATATATATATATATTATTTGTTAACTTAAAATAATAAAATAAAAGATAAAAAGATAAAACTTCTTTCTTAAAAGTAGAAATGTGGATGGAATTAAAATCTTAAATAAATAAAGAAGAAAAATATAAAGGAAATTGTAATTTAATAAATAAAATTATGAAAATCTTAAAATAATATTGATGGGTGTGAAAATTTATTTTGTTGGTAATTTATTTTATTATTATTATTATTATTATTATTATTATTATTATTATTATTATTATTATTATTATTATTAATAAAAGAGAAAAAGAAGGGGAAATGAAAGAAAAAAAGTGGGAAAGTAAAAGAATAAAAAAAAAGTAGCGATTATGATTGGTTAATGTAGTTACGACAGTTCACCTAATTGTCGCGGATGTGAAAAGAGGGCGGTTTTTTGGTAACTGTCGCAATTATGTTACTCATAATGCTTGAAAATCTACGACGGTTGAGCCTAACCGTCGTGACAACTGTCGCAATTCAGGAATAAGGACGGTTTTGTGGGAACTGTCGCAATTTATGTGTCGTAAATCTCTTTTTTTCTTGTAGTGATACCTCCTATCTGACTTTGAGGTATTGGATGCCATTCTTCTGCACCCTAAGAGGAGATTCCCTTTAACATGTATCTGGAGCTCAATCGACATGGCATTATACATACCAAGCATACTTTTCACACTAAGTCTACTTATTCCAATCTTCCAAAACACAAGGATGCCTGTTGTACCCCAAAATTTCCCACTCATTTATCAAATATTTTCTCACAAGATCTCCTTTGGTTCAAGACTGCACAAGGGTTGATCAGCTCAAGACACCTCCTTAAGCACTGATGACTGAAATTAGGGTTTGAGATTGCACAAGGATATTTGAACTTTTAATGCCTCACATGAATTTCATGGATCATCTTGGACCCTCAAGATTACTCATGTCAAGTTTCAAGTCTTGGATCACATTTTTGCTCAGTCAATTGAGCAGTTGACCTAAAAATCAACTGTATTGGGGAAAAAGTCAACTATGGCCAATTTACAGTCAAACTTCATAATTTTTTATCCATATAAACATTATAAACTCATATGTATCATTTTATCAAGTTTGGATCACAATTACTCAAGAAATTTGATCATATCATCAAAAGGGCAAAATTGTCAAAATTAGGGTTTTGACTGAGAAACGGTAATTTCTGATTTTTGACCTAGCAAATGGTTAATTGGTTTGAGGCATGATTCAAGAGTTCAATTGCATAATTTTGACCTAATGGCATTATTCAAAACATGGCTCAAGGTCATTTGATTGATAGTTGATTTTTCAGTCAACTGATCAAAAGTCAACTGTATATTGAAAAGTCAAACTTTGACCTTTTGGTCAAAATCAAGTGTCAAAGATCACAATTCATAAAAACATGTCAAAATATGAAACTTTTTCATCAATAAATCAAAAAGTCAATATTTCATTTTGAAAAGTCAAAGTTTCCAAACTTAGAAATTTTTCTAAGTGTTGAAAACTTCATATTTTTTCACAACTTTGAGCCAATTTTTCACCATGATGCAAGATGATTCAAAAGAAACTTTCAAAATGAAAGTTGTAGATCTCCATGAGATCTAAAACATTTATTTACAGAACTTCTCCTAGAAATGATTGGATCTCAAGTTATTAATCCATGAAGTCATGGTCATGAAACTAAACAGTTAGTGAAAATTTTGCCCTAGTTTAGGCAGGATTTTGACCTAACTTCATGACAATTTTTCACATAGTTCCAAGGGTAATTTTCAAAAGTGATTCAAAGAGGGGTTATAGATCACATTGCAAGCTTTCTGAAATGTCCAAGAACTCCTTGAGATCATGTTTGAGCAAGGAGAATCGAAGGCATGAAGTTGGCATTTCATTCTTGAATTATAGATCATTTTCATGATGAACAATAATGCAATTTCAATGTTAGGCTGCATAATCTTGCTCTGCAGGACTTATAACTTGTGTATCATCATTAATGGATTACATAAACTTTTGAGCTATAATCTAAGTTGTTTAAGCTTTATCCAATTTACATTGCCATTTTAGGAGGAAAGTGAAGAATACCGTTCTTGAAAAGCAAGCTTTATGCATAAAGTCAATTCTTGAGCCTCTAACTTGTTCCCTCTAATCACACTCCATCTACAAAGTTAGAATAAAGTGTGTTTAAAGCATAACCACTATATCTTAACAAGTACACAAGACTTTGAAACTTGGATTTCTCAAAAAATCACATGTTATGCTTAAACTTGTGATTTTGAATTCTGATCAACAACAAGCTTCCAAACTTGTTGCTTATAAATAGAGGCAATATTTGTGAGCTAGAACACGAGCTTAAGCACCCTGAAACACTCCCAAACTCTCTCAAATCAGAAATTATCCAAAAACTCCATTGTTGCACAGTTTTTGACCTTGGATTTGTAACTCATATTTCCCTCTTGCGTTCTTTGGCCTTTTAGTTCCTAAAGCTTCCTTACATCAAATACAACTCATCCTTGTCCCTGTTACATAACTATAACTCCATTTCGATCATCCTCCATAGCCAAAAACAAAGCACTGCATATTGACTTCTCCAAGCCATTTCAGCCACTCTCAACTCAAGCTAACCATTGCATTAGCTTCCTGAGAACTTGAGGAAGCTAACCTGATCATTGCAGCACCTTGAATTAAGCTCATTTGCATTTCATGATTTCCAGTTTTGATGTATTTTTCTTGAACTTCTATCTCATTACTTAGGCATTGTTAGGCTTGCATTTGTGAAGATAAAATATAGACATCATTTCCCTGAAGCTGTACATGTCCATAGATTTTATTTATATTGATTCAGCTAGGAGAGTTTTAGGATTGAACCTCTGAAAATGATTAGGTCAGAATTTGGTACTTTCAAAAATTCTCATTCATCTTTGATTTATAGCTTATAATATTTATATGGTTGGTTTCGTATGGAAAAATGAGGCAACTTTCATGTTTGCATATTTCATTTTTATTGAGAAATGGTGAAGTTACAGATGATCTGGCTGGAGGTTGAAGATGAAGTTCCATATTCAGGATTTGTTTTGTATTATTTATTTATCATTTCAGTTATATCAACGGTTGTACAGCCACCCCAGTGGTAAGGCAGCACGCGTTATTGGTAGAGGTCATGGGTTCGAACCTCAACGCTTCCTTTTGTATTTTTTCCATATTTTTTGTCATTTTTTCCTTTCAGGTAGCGCTTGGGCCTCCACCCCATGGGCCTGATTCATTTTACTCACTAATACCCCCATGTTTGCTCATATTACGCAACCAATCTCCTTTTTTTCTTCTGTTTAAAAAAAACTATAATGGGCCAACTCCAAGACTATTTTTTTTCTAACAAACCTCCCAAATTCAACTTTAACCTCCCTGACTTTTCTTTAGATTTTATTTTTATTTTATTTTCTTCATTATTTTTATTATTATTATTTTTATTATTATCATCTTTATCAATAAAAATCCAAAAATATTTATATTTTATTATTTATATTTATTTAGCTTATTTTTCTTCATAAAAACAAAAGAACAAAAACACTGCTTAATAAATTAATTTCTTTCTTAAATATTAATATTTTAGGTTTAACCATTATATTATTTTCTTGTAAATTAAAATCAATTTAGAACTTAGGACTTTTATTTAATTAATTTTATTTAATCAAATTCACAACAAAAAAAAACCTAAAAAAACTTGTTTTCTTTAAATTAATTTATTTTACTAACTTAATCTTAATTTTCTTATTTTTAGTTAATTATTTTATTTTAATTAATTAGGTAAAAAAAACCTTTTCATGAAAACCAAACAAATCACATTTTTTTATATATTTACATTCTTGTACATTTATTCAAATTCAATATGGTTGTAATAGATAATTAGGGTTTTAATTTCTTGCAATTCCCCATTTGTAAATTTGTATACCCCCTCCCCTAAATGATGTAATAGCTTAGTATTTTTATTTTTCGCAATTTAATACTTTATATACAAATGCTAGTAATTAGGGTTTGTATGGAAATATTAAAATCAATGCTTAGAAAATCCTAATCAAGACAAATCAAGCATGTAAACCAATACACTTGCACACATACATCCTTAGGGTAAATCCACTTTGTTGCCTTACAAAAATGTCCATATTATGCATGTGAGGTATCTTATAAAAAACAATAAAAAAATACATGATCATAGTCCCTCGATGGCGCTATCAAAGTTGCCTTTCAAAAATGATCTTAATCCCTTAAAGAAAATGCTAAGATATCTTACAACATTGCTAATCATGGTTATACGATGACCCTTGCTCGTCCCTTTTGCATCCAAATATAGGGTTACTTACCAAATCAATGGTAAGATGACAATGTCAAAGGAAAGAGGAAATAAACATGAAAGACTTTTGAGTAGGTAGATTGTTCCTAGTTACTTGCTCATTTTCAAAACCAAAAAATCCTTGCTATTTTCAAAACATCACACCAAAACTTTCAAAAACATCTTTCAAACTTGAAAACATTTTCAAAAGAACAACACTTTGTATACATTCTTACGAACGAGAATCATTACAAAGTTTGCCTAAACAATGGCGCCTTTTCAAAATACTTTCAAAAAACACACAAAGCACATTTTCAAACAAAAGCAAGTGATCTAGCAAGTAACTAAGAGCCCATGGAAAACCATGGATGAAAAGGGTGCTAATACCTTCCCTTTTCATAATCTACCCCCCAAACTCAAGAAAACATCTCAAAGGTC